TTCTGTCTGTGGATGCAGCGTTCTGGGATAAAGATGTGTCAAATTCAAATGTTCGGCTTTCCCTGCAGCCAAAGGGGCACGGTTTGATATCCCTGGCTCACCACAAATGAGCAAAGCCTCTCACCTGAATCCTGATGAGTAGATATTCATCCAACATTCCCCCCAAACTGCTCCGATTTGCTGTAATAAGACTAAACAAATCCATCACTGGAGCCTACGTTAGGTCACACATGTGGTTTGTCAGTAAGCAAATGCACATTTTTTCAAATTTAAAACAAAACAAGAGACTTTCTGTCTCGTACGAAACAGTTTTTGAAATACATTTTTGGTTACAGACATGCAAACAGTTTCAGCCTCTTCTGGCTTGTTGGATTGGCACCTGACAGCGGTTTTAGGTCTGGTCTCATGTCTTTCATCAGCCTTCATCCTTCCAGGACAGTCCTGCTGTCAGCTTCATCACTTTTAGATACTATTTTTCCTCCACCTGCCCATTTTCTACAATTTTATAAGTTCTGAGATATAGTTTTCAGGTCACAGCAGTTTTGGAATGACTGTTTTGTTGCTTTATACTCAACAAATCCATTTACACTTTTCATAGATGAGGCACAATAAACTGAACTAAAAAAGTGGAAGTATGCTTTTCTTATCAAACACTTAGAACTCACTGGATAGTTTGTGTATCCCTTCTGACCTGGAAGCACCTTGGGGTCCTCAAAGAGGAACTGGATTGGAAATGGATGAATCGAAGCTAATATTTGATCGTTGTCATTTTCTTATATATGTGTCTGTGTATGTGTAGATTCCACACTGGCTCATTTTCTTGAGTGGTCTTTGTTAGCGTATTGTATTTAGCAAAAAAGAACACGGTCCAAAGACGAGGCTAAAATGGGGTGAAAACAAATTTAAAGATGGCTATTGTCATTATCAAAAAGGAATGGAATTAGAGTATTGCCCAGTTCTTTAATTACTCTCACAATATATTTAACTTCCGAGTTGGTGGAAATCCTCCTGTGCACAACAAAAATTCTGATGACTGTGGTAATGATGAACAGATACTTTATTCATATTCCACAGATTAACATTAGCCTGCTGCTTATCGTCTTTTATCAGCTCGGGGAAGCTGCAGCGTGTCAACATTCCTTTAGTTTACCTCAAAAACAATTGGCATCCCATCCATATCATTTGGAAACATGAAGTAAAGTTCTAAACCAATGCCATATTTTTATTGGTTATTACTGCTTGGTGATAATTCATTGTATTGATAAAGCAAGAATGCGTAATGTCCACCAGAGGGAGACTGAAGGTTAGTCATTGGCCAACAGAACACCTGTGATCAGCTAGCTTCCTTTCCTGAGGCCCGCTCCATCCATCTGTCTCACAGCCTGTCACCCTGAGATTGTAACTTTGACTCACTATGAACTGTTTCCATCTCGAGGGATCTGAGGGTCACACGCTCAACTTCACTATCTGTTCTGGCTCAATTAAAGATCCTGAAGGCCAGCCATGTCAGTATGATACGTCTGTAGTGCAGGTTAATTACTTTACATCTGCTTGAAGAAAATACAGGTCAAAGGAGGAAATGGCTCTTTGAGAGTACGACAGTCAGATGAATTATTTCTATTATTTTTTATTATTTATTATAATAATCAATGGTAGCAGTGGCAGCATTAGCAAGAGGACAATTAGTAGTATTAGAGTTCCTTCTCCAGTGCATCTTAATTCTAAACAATTGTAGTTTTTTTTACTTATGCTTGCAGATTAATTGGTTTAAACACTGTAAATATTCTTTCGGCATTTGTTTAGCCGCATCAGAAAGATTCTGTTGACTGATACCTGGGCTTGTAATTGTGAACTGCCCATCACCTTGAGTTTGCTTACATGATAGTTTCAACAACCCCGGAGCGGAAGGCCACACGCCTCATTTCACCACCTCATGGATGCATGGAAATGAGCGTCTGCGCTCTCCTCACACAGTCCCTAAAGCCAGGAAGTTTCTTTTACATAATGACTTCAGGATTTCCTAATCCACTAACAGCAGGCAAGAGTTCCAAGACGAAAAAGTCACATATGGAGTGAAAAAAGATCTAATGCAGGTATAGTTACGTCTGTATTAACATGTAACATTTACTGCCACCCTCTGTGGGATTGTGTTTCCGCTGTCTGTGTCCTTCAGTTTTCCTCTACAGGAACAAACACATTTATGGGTTAAATCATAAGTGTCCTCTGCAGACAAGAAACCATTTGGCTCATGTGAGGAGTGTCATCAAAAGCATCTATCCTGCGCCTTTCTGAAGCCATGGCTTGTGGTTTTTTGTACGTGGAATCATATACTTAGCCAGTATACTGGGCCTGGTGTAGAGCACGCCATGGCCACGGTGATGTGGGGCTGATCCCCCTCTGTTTGGCAAGAGGGATTTTTTGTCCTTTTATACCCATATCTAAAGATGAAAAATGATCCCCAAAAGTGAATTCTTGACATTGAGCATTGCCGAAAAAATAATAAATCCCAAAAAGCAAAAATGACAGCAGATCAGACTTTTTCCTCCCATTGAACCATCTAGTCTACCTGTTGCTAGGTCATTAATAGGTTAGTAAGTCATTTCTTCACACCATTAACAGTGAGCCAGGAGCGTGTACTATAAATTAGGCAGAAGATAGAGCACATTTCTATCACCTCTTTTTCTCATTCAGGTGACCATGTGGGTCTTTTGTGTATGAATTATGTGCATTTCCAGTGTGTGATATGAGACAACACAAGTGGAGCTGATGTCATTCTGAAGTATTTTTCATGAACAATCTATGAAGCCCTTACAGAGCAGAAGGACCGGAAGAGTCGAGCTCACATGCACACAACCTGCTAATGTAAGGCTTGAGTTTGAAACCTTAAAACACTTTCTTTTTTTGTCATAACACATTGTATTCATACACCCTTTCTTTCCTTTTCATGCTTTTGTTTGTGTTCCGTTATTCAAAACTAAAAGCGGTGCTTTTGCATTTGATTTTAGAAGTTTGTACGATCAGGATCTTTTCTCATTTAATTTACACGTTATTCACTAATATTCTGGCGTGGCAGTTTGTTAAATCTGGTTAAACAACCATCGAGGTAAAGAGAATCTGAAAAGTGTTGTTCATTGACACCAAATATCTTCAGAAAAGCTCAATCCTGCTTCAGCTCCACTAAAAGAAACCCCGCCACCATGAGAATGTTCTGAGATAAATGGGTGGGGTTGGTGGAGTTAAAAGTAAGGGATCCGTAACTCTAGTGGTAATAGGCCCACCAAAAGAGACCAGACGTCAGAGGGCAAAACATAGCTTCATTTAAAGAATCATCATTTCTGCTGAAGCCACAGAAAAATTTGGCCGAAGCAGCATGAATCTGTGAAGCCAAGTTATCTCTGGCATGCATGGAGCCTTTTCATAGCCACCAGTCACAGTTTGAGGCGTCATGTCAGAAAGTAGAACTTTATCCAAATGGTTTCATGTTCGTGATGGCGGGTTTTTGGGACTCCAGTGGCCGTCTTCAACCTGAATAGTTAATGGTTTAGGTTAGCATGCGCAAATGCTTTGATGGATAAAGACTACACAGGGTACATCATCTGTGATATGGTACTTATAAGTGTTATACAAGAGTTATACAAGGGTTATGGGGTAAAAGATTAGTCAGCCCTCAGAGACCAAAACATGCTGTACATGTATCAAACCTGGTGTTCACTACACGTCAGCCACAGCCAACCCGTTACACTCAAACTAGCTTTACTAAAGGTCAGCTCTTTAGCAGGGAAAACCTTTAAATCAGTGACTTTATTTCCTCTCGCAATCTTGACTTTTTGTTTTTAACTGAGACATGGCTCGACAAAACCACAGCTGCTGCAGTCCTGACTGAGACTAGTCCACCTCACTTCACTTTTGTATCGGAGACACGTCAGAACCAGAGGGGGGGGTTGTGCCATATTTAGGGACAATTTACTTACACACAAACTATAATTTGGGGTTCTATCATCATTTGAGTATGTGTCATTCATATGGAGATAAAACAATCTTCCATTCTTTATATTACCATCTCTAAATCCCCACGGAAGTGTTTCATAGATGATTTCCCTGAGTGACTCTCGGTTGTGTGCACTAACTTTGACTGCTTGGTCATACCAGGGGCCTTAAATAAGTATGATGATGCAGCCCAAGATAAGCATTGTAAAGAACTCACTGCTGTCTTTGAGATGTTTGGTCTAACTCAGCATGTTAAAGCGCCCACTCACCACAGAGGGCACACTCTAGATGTGCCCATTTCAAAGGCTGTTGTTGTTTCACATGTGGATGTTGTTGACGTTTATGGGTTTTCTTTGACCTGTCTGTTACACCCAAACCAGCAGTTGGGTCTGCAGTTGTTCTGGGAAGACTCACAGTTTTTGGAAACGATTTTTGCAAATGTACCTCATTCATACTTTGACCTCACCGCTGGGGCCCAGTGATCTTACCGTACCATGCTCTGCTCACACAGTCATAAGACCTTTGGTCCCAGCTCTTTCATTCATGTCTCCTTCTTGTCTGCTTTATCTGTCCCTCAGGCGGCCATGATTGCTTGTCACAGCTCATCCACAACGACGCTCCTGACTCTTGGGGGTGCTGTCTTCACCTGATTAACACCATGCTCAGCTTTTCCTTCCATGAAAAAAGAAACTTGAGTTGAAAAACTCAAAACATTGGTAAAAACAGAAAAAAACCCAGCAAATCCACCAAGATTGACTGAAGTTTTCTGAGGTTAGGAACAAACTAGGATTAAAATGCGATCTTACAGGTCAGCATCACTGCAGGCAGCCTTTGATGGCCTGCTGGCTGCTATTTCCTTAATGTTCAAGTCTATGGAGAAACACTCTGTCACCATCATTTGTATGTGTTTACTTCCCGTCCTAATGACAAGGGCAAATGAATAACATTTGGTTTGCATAATTACCTAACAAATGAGGGGGGCGGTGAGTATAAGTGAGAGGATTCCATCCAAGGGTTCAAGATATTCCCCATCAGAGCCACACCAAACAGCAGCTGGAACCCTGTCAGGTCAAGGTGGGTCTCGTGTTTCCATCTCACATCTGTTTCATCAGTTACTAACTCCACATTATCAATACTGAGGAGGAAATGTGTGTAAGCCAGGCCATTATGCCTTATTCATATGTTTTGGCCATTGTATATCTGGAAAATGTGGCATAAATAAACATGAAAAGTTAACGTTATTTGTTTGTAAATGATTGAAGATATTATATGTTTATGATCACACGTATCAGTGAAAATATCCAAACATTTTCATTCTTCAGATGAGGGTAACCCCACTGCTTGTTCTCACATTGTCAGGTAAGTTTCTGTACATGTAACAAAATGCCTACATTACATTATATGTGTTTTTTTTCCTAATAACAATCCTTTTTTTTTTAGGAATGTCTGCTCTACCTGCTGACTTATTTAGAGAATACCACTATGTGGACATCCCAAAGACATGGGCTGACGCTCAGAGGTATTGCAGAGACGTGTATGTGGACCTGGCCACAGTCCAGAGTCCAGCTGAGCACAAGAGGCTGATGGGCATAGTCCAGCCCAGTGGAAAACAGGCATGGATTGGACTGAGCGATAACCTGATTAGCTGGAAGTGGACCCATGGAAATGTCAAATTCAACAACAGTGCAGATTACAGCAACTGGAAACCTGGCCAGCCGGACAACAAGGACTCCAATGAGAGCTGCGTGGTGATGCAGCACGACGGCCTTTGGCGTGATGAAAACTGTCTGACCGATCGTCCTTCAGTCTGCTTTGATGGTAGCCCGATTTCCTATTCAATGCTTTATCCGCATTTTAATAGAAAAAGATTTTTCTTCAAAGGCAGAAGAAGCACAAAGCAGAGAATTCAGTGTTATTTAACAAAACTTATATACCACCATTATTGCTTTAGTAGCTGTTGGAGATATGTTGTCATACAGCAGTGTAGATGTAGTGGAGGAAAGTGTCTTGTTTTTGTTGCTTGGAAACAGCATTGACAGGTAGCATGGATTAACTCAGTAGACACGATGAACAGGAGCTCACACCCAATAGTAATAACACCACACACTGTTAAAAAGCTACATCTGTTCTCACACACAAAATCAGCTGTACGTAGCTAATTAAGCTAATAACTCCAGCAGCTTCATGCAAAGCGATTTAACTCTGCAGTTTACACAACACAGCTATCATGACAAATATCATGTCATCATGTCACTTTTTTTATTTAGACAAATCAAAAGAACTATTCAACAAAAAAACGAAAAAAACATAAATGTAAACATTTCCCCCTGCAGTTTGGCCCCTTTAAATGAATTCAGATATGTTTCCTACATTTCCTGATTTACACTGAGTATTGCTGGGAAATCTATCAGTCCTCTGCTGTTGCATCACATATTCAAATGTTTTTAAGTCAAACCAAATCTAAAAAGATTGTTATTTGATCATTATAAACTGTAGGTACACAGATTCAAGCACTAAAATTGGATCTATGCAACAGGAGCAACAGGCAAACACGATGTGATTGTGGTGAATCCCAACTTCTGCTTATGTTTTGTGGACTTCATCCTCATTCAGAGAAATAGAACAAATAAGATTCAGACATACTCCACTGTGCCGGATGAGTCATTGTTTTCCAGGATTAGAAAAGCTCTCCTGTGCCAGCAGGGAAACCTGATTCTTATCCATAAAAACATCCCAGGAAAACAAAGGAGCATCCAGCTTCACCTAATGAGGACTTTAACATCTGTGGGTGTTTGTATGGTCTGTTTATCTCTACAGGAACAAAATCAAAGCATATTTTAGTTGACACTTTCATGACGTGGAATGAGTCCAAAACCATGTGTAGGTCCGTCTACACTGATCTCGCCCGGGTGAGGAGCTTTGATGAGAATGAGAAAATCCACCCACTGCTGTCACGAAATGCCTGGATCGGTCTGTACAGAAGGAAATGGGCCCAGTGGTCTGACCAGACCCCCAGAAGGTTCAGGAACTGGGATGTGGGCCAGCCTGACAACAGTGGAGGCACGATGAGGTCATGCGCCGCAGTCCACACGTCCACGGGGAAGTGGTGGGACTCTGCCTGTGAGGAGAAGCTGGAGTTCATCTGCCAGACTCTGCTCCCACCCAGGAGCAGGTTCCAGCTGCGCGTCCAGTCTGAGGCTGACCTGAGCCAGCCCGCCGTCCAGCAGCAGCTTCTGGAGCAGGTACGCCTGTCCTGGAGATGCCCCACACCGCGCCCACTGGCTGGCTGACTGTGGGTAGAGCCGCATGGTTTAGTGTGCGTGGTTGTTAACGTCCCTGTGTGTGCTGGTCCTGTAGCTGCGTGCTGAGCTGGGGGCCCGCGGCCTCACAGACCCCCGCCTGCGCTGGGTCCAGACCGACGGGAGGACTTTTCACCCGGAAACTGGGAGGAAAGCGGGTATGTATGGCCCACTTCACACTGGGTCTCTGGGATGGAAGTTGAACAGTTGAACAGAAGAGTTTGTTTGTGTTTCTGGATGTTCCAGTTTTTACAGCAGTTTCCAACAAGCCCAATCTAATAGTAGTTTACTGAAATTTCATTTTAAATGCCATTTAAATTCAAGATCAGCACTGTCAAAAACCCCTGTGAATAAATATGCTGTAATTAGAAAGTGATCCACAATGAACCTCCTCTTTTTGATTGAAAAAACAAAGAACACTAACGTAAATACATTTCCATAACAGAAATCTGAACGTTGGAAGTAAAGTTCACTTTTCTAAAAATGTTACTTTAATTATTATTCCTTTTAACTGCACCAAAACTCTTAATAGATTTCCTAATTTACTGAGAGAAAATTATTCCTAGCTGTGACACATTGCCCAGTATCTTGTGAGGATTAAATAGGAGGAATGTAAACACCCGCTCATCAGTAAATCTTTAAGTTGTCATGTCTTGCAAACTCTTTACGGAGGATGAGAAAGGCCTATTACCACAAATGACCAAAATAACTCCTTAGATAAAACAAATGTTGTTTTGCATCACGAGGGGTAAGTAGGGGTTATTTTCTTTGCTTTTCAAGATAAGCTCATCTGCTCTGCCTCTGTGAATAAAACAATTGAAATCAACTTCTTCCCATTTATCTGCTCAAACAGTTTCAAATAAACAGCTAAAATATGTTATTTTTGTGATTTTTTTAAAGTAAGGTTTTAGTGAATATTTACCAAACAAGATGTAGTGTGATGAATTATATTTATTCCATTATCACAACGACTTATTAAAGTCCTGGATCCACAGTTTATTTCCATTTTCTTGTTGACCTGTTCAGCCTAAGTGAAGCAAAGGCTGCTGTGTGTTGTTGAGCAGAGGAGCCTGTACAGTGTGTACTTGCAGAGGATAGGACCAGAACATGGCCATGCTAATGTCATTCTTTAGAAATGATCCTATTTTCTTCTTCCCTAATGCCACATTTTGCTTTTAAATGCTTGTGTGTTTCATTGTCTGCTTTCAGGGCCAGGAAACTGAGCACGATGGAAGTCTTCATTGTTAAAAATCACAAACATTTCATTTTTCATGTGATTCAGTGCTTCTGACTTCTGTAATTACATATTTCCATCACTGTTACTGTGAGTCTGGTAATAATCTTATTGTCATGGTGAATAGATTATATGCTTTATTGCTTTAAGAATTTAAAATCTGATGTTTACCGTTGAAATACATGAAAAAATGTCTACATGTGAAGTTTTAACATGTATTTAGTATAAAAGTAGGAAGAAATATAACTATACAATTGTTATTTATATTACATTTACTATACATGTTAGGAGTGCTCATATTGCTCTTTTTATTATCTATTCTTTTACTCCCATACTCAACATTCAATGTTTGCTTGTTTTGATGTGTTTCTTTGGCTGTGGGACTAAATAAATGACTTTCATCAAAGCATAATAAGGTTTCAATTTTAGCACAAATGTGTCTGATAGAAATGAAATATTTTCTTAACACTTCACAGCTTTTATATTTCTTTTATTATTTCATTTATAAGACTTCCTTAAAGACAAAACTCAGCTATCATGAGTGCTGTTATAAAGCTGGTACCTGAAAAGAGTGCCTGCATAGAGAACCCTTCAAAACCCAGTATTCTCCTCAGCCTCACAGTCAGCAAAAGACTAAATCAACCCTAACCCTAACCCTAACCCAAACCCTAAGCTCTAAACCTAACTCAAACAATCCGGACCTGGCCCAGTGCAACGTGACACACCACCAAGACTCATTCAGTCATCTGTAATTCAAGTTGAAGTTTTTTTTAGTTTAAATTGTAGCGTGTTAGTTTTCCGTAAATGAGAATAACAAAAAAGCTCAATAATACTGCTGTTTTTTCTAATTCTTCTTCACATAAAGGCCCGTGCTGTGCTCTTTAGTGGCATCTTAGTGGCATCTTCTGGCAGTGAACACAGACCTTCACTGTAAGCTGATGCTGATGGGCTCCCTTCTGACTTTTCCAAATCCTGCCACTGCAGAGAGAATAGTTTACACACTTCCAGTCTCCCACGCCGAACTGAAGCAGATTGAATGACAAGTTGTCAGAGTGAGAAGATTCTAATCGGAGCAAATGTCCTTAATAGAGAGCTTTCTGTCAGCACAATTCCCCCAGCTAGTCATTAAGATGTGTCCCGAAAGCAGGCAGGCTGCCATCTGACCCTTTTCAGCCATCAGCTGTCAGAAAAGTCTTTCCCTTTAGACTGTCTCCATGACCTTAATCTAAGTAGATTTTACTCATACCCAGTGTCCAGTTCTGGACGTCTTCACTGTGAAGAAGGTCAAGCGCAAAACTTCCTGCCCATTAACGGCTCATTTCCAGAGAGAACGGTGATGTGCAAGAAAAATGACAATAACTTTGAAGGGAATCTGAACCGGTCCAGATGAATGTGATTTATGAGGGAGCTGAAGGAGACACTCTATCCCTGCTCCTCTCTGTCTCAGATCCCCAGGTAGACAAATCCCTCCACTAAATCCAGCTGTCACCAGTCGCCATGGTGATCCCAGAACTATCCAGAGTGCAATATTACAATCTTACAGGAGGTGGTCTCAGACTGAGTGGTACCTGTGCTTCTGTAAAACTCTGAAGTCCTGCAGGTCACGTTGGTCATGAATGCGTCTGCATTAGCATAATGGGCACAGGCCTCCGCTGGCATGGACTCACAGTCTAAATATCTGACTGATACGCTGTGGTTCTCTCTCACGCGTACACACATGCAGACACAGGCCGGGAAAGCACAGCAGGGGCAGGACAATCACTCAGCCGCACTATCAGTGGCTATGAGACCATCTCTGGCAACGCCCGGAATGAGTTTCTGTGTCCCCAACGACAAGATGGAGCGCTGCTGATAACGGCGGGCTGCAGGCTCCTGCCTCCACTAAATCACAGTTTGTCTCCAGCACTCTTGGCGGCGGTGGCTGGATGAATGGAAAACAAGGAGCGTGCAATAAAAGGGGGAAACGTGGTCTAACTTTGTGTGTCCGTGTTTGTGTGTGTTTCGGTTTAATGTAATGTCGAGGTGCCACTAAAGCGACAACGAGTTCAGCCAAATTACAGCCGGGTTCTGCTCTACTGCCACTGTGTTAAACTGAAATATTTAACCATCCGGCACATATTTTAGAGCGTATATCCTAAACGTAGTAGTTCAAGTAATAATGCTGTGGTCTTCAGAATGAAAATGAGAAGTGAAAAAATCTTATGTAAGTACATACACAGTGACCTATGAGATATGTTAGAGAGAAAAAAAAACATAATCCCATGTTAAATGGACATCAATCTCTAGGCCATCACACAACATTAAATAAGAAATTCTCAAACGGCCCGACTTATATATCTGTACTTCCCTAGAACAGTGTTTTCCACGGGGAGGAAGTGGTCAACGTAAACCACTGCTAAAACTCTGTAAAGTGGACACACATTCATCTCAGAAGTGGCAACAGAAAGTGTCCTCAGTTCTCAAAACAAAAAAAAAACAAAAAAAAGGTCTAGAGGCTGATAGTAAAAGCACATTTATCACTCTTAAAATCTAAAAAGTTGTGTTTTGATATGTGCATTTGCAGGACTCTCATCTTTATGCTTTTATTATACTGACCTCTCAACCAAACCCACTGGGGGGAGTCAAACTAAAATAAAATGAAAGAAATGACAAAATTCTTTAGAGTTACTACATAAACCAATTTCAATTTTTATTTTTATTTTTTTTACAGTTATACAAAACTCTGTTTGTATTAATATGAATGAATGTTAATGGGATAGTAATGGATTTCAGTTGACACAAATGTGCGTTTAATGACAGCTTTAATTGTCATTAGGACCTGCAGACGTCATTTTAAATCATCAGTGTTGAGGCCGATCATGAATTGGGTGACATACTGGCTCACACGTGCTCATTAGCCACTTGAGCTAATAAAGTTGAAACTGCAAAGTAACTTTGCCAAAAGTCAGCTGGCAGGCAGCAGAGTGCCGGCTGCCAAATGGCTGCTCGCCCCGAGCGTTCAGGACTTTATGAGAGTGAACAGGTGCCGTATCAACACTGGAACCTTTTCCTCTTAATCATGTGTCCCAAAGAGGCAACAACAACCAGGCTACTCTGTTTTTTTAGGTCAACACCATCAAATAAAAGGTGAGTTCAGTTGATATGTGAAATCTGTGGAACAGTGATATCTTTTGCTCTCTCTAAAAAGTACCGGTTTTAGATTAAAAGCTAGACGACCTTGATTTGCTTTAAAATTTCGGTTTTGTCTCAAAAAGACGAATAAAAGACAAAATAGTGTTCATCTTCTGTACAGGTTCCCACACACACACTACCAGTCGTTAGCTGTGACCCATTATGCCTCATTTCTCTGCTTTTCGCACAATCGTATCTGATGAGAGCTGTTCTAAAGCATGGCCCCGCTCCAGCTCCACTTCTCAAAAGCTGTTCTGTCATCATGGGATAAAAGTCTCTCCCTCTGATGAAGGCGCGCTGCAATCTGGGCCTTTGTCACATTTCACTCACTCAAGGCAGAATGAAGAAAACAGCCTGAAAGACAAGTGCAGGAGCAGGGGCAGCTCAGAGAGGAACTGACACCCACTTTTTTATTCTTTACCAAAGCACTGACATCCCGGAAACCGTCCCAGGAGGAGCTTGTGCTAGAGATCCGTCCTACGGACATGTCGGTGGTTCTTGGGGTGTTGGAGTTTTCCTAGTTGGTGTTTTGGTGTTGTTATGAACTGTGATTTTTTTATGCCATTGGAGTATGTCGGGTTTTTTTTCTTTGTTTATCTGTCTGCTTGTTAGTTGTTTCTTTTTTTTGCTTTTCTGTGTTTCTGTCTTAGGCTCTTAGGTTACAACAGTAACCCATATGAGTTCACATCTCTGGTCTCTTACCCATTCCTGGCCTGTGTTGATCCTCACCGTCACTGTCAGTGAGCTTTTATGTTGATGTGTCTGCACTGAGCAGAATCTTTTATCCAAAAGGACTTCCAATGCAGGAGCAACATTCCACTGACAGGAAGCTAGGGGCTGGAGACTCAGACTCTGTTAGAGCAGCAGTGGTGAGGGTGTAGAGGTAGAGGGAGTACAGAGAGAGTGGTGGAGGGGGGGGTGGGGGGGTACAGGGTCAGGGTTACAGGAGGAGATGCTCTCTGAGGAGCTGGGTCTTCAACAGGTTCTTGAAGATGGACAGGGCCGTTCTCCTACAGCTGGATGGGTCATTCCAAAGAGTCTGGATGGTCTTAAGCATGGTGTAAGCTCTGCTGGACCACAATCCATCGATGACCGGGGGGACCCAGTGGTGACATAAGCCTTTGCGATTGTATTCAAGTCGATGGGAGTGGTACCCTTTAGCACTTTGTAGGCTAACATCAGGGACCTGAAATCGATGCGAGCAGCTAAGGGTAGCCAGTGGGGCTGAATGAGCAGAGGGGGGTCGTGGGATGTTTTTGGCTGATCGAAGGCCAGATGCACCACTGCGTTCTGTGTCATTTGTAGAGGTTTTACAGTTTTTAGAGCATTACCTCATGAAGCGGAATTTCCCACTCAGAACATTAATCAGAAAAAACAGAGAGATTTACTACACTGTACTTACTTTTTATTGTGTGTACGTGTATTTGAGTTTAATTACAATTGTCGGAGGGGGTGGGTCCTGGCTCCGGTGGCTAATCTGGTTCCTCCTGTTCATCAGGTCCACTTTCCATTTTCAAAATATGCAAACAAAGTTATCTCGTGCACTTCAACATAATAGACTGGTCAGCCGTACCGCTAATTCCCTAATGGTGTCACTGGGGGGACTGGAGCCTATCCCAGTAGCTAATGGGGAGAGGCGGGATCCCCCTTGATGGTCCCCAGTCCATCACAGGGACACACAGAGACACACAAGGACCAACAACCACACACTCACACTAAAGGCAGTTTGGAGTCCAACAACCTAACATGCAGGTTTTTGGAGGGTGGGAGGAAGCCGGAGAACCCGGAGAGAACCTACAGACACAGGAGAACATGCAGACTCCACCCAGAAAGGTCCTGGTTCCCCCGGGACTCCAACCCAGAACCCTCTGGTCCTGGTTCCCCCGGGACTCCAACCCAAGGTGATGGTGCTACAAAACTGCTTTCCTTATTTCCATATTCTTTCTGTCCTGTCTTCTAGTCATGACAAATATAATCAAAACATAAATTAATTCATAAAATATCTTTAATTATCTACATCGCCGTCCTACCACATGTATGT